TGGAGTTACAGTGGGGATGCCCTGGAGTTACAGTGGGGATGCCCTGGAGTTACAGTGGGGATGCCCTGGAGTTACAGTGGGGATGCCATGCTCTCCTTTCTCTTAAATTATTACCATAGATTCAGCTGTAGGAACGACACGGGAATTTTTGTTCTCATCTAAGTGTTTTTTTTTCTAAGTGACAAGTATTTATAACCATTAGTTGGGAGCTTCTGACAAGACTAATAAAAAAAACCTATAATTAACATCTTATAAAAAAACCAAATTAACCAATAATCTAAAGGTAAAGAACATCTTTGGTTATGGATGTTCACTGGAAAAGCAGTAAGGTAGATACTAAGCCTGTTCTGTGTTGATTACCCCAGACATTCAGGAGAAATTAAGGGACTTCACCTAAGTTTTCTAGTTAATTGCCTCAGGTATTCATTTACACCTTCTAAGATAGACCTGCCCTTCTCTAACAAAGTACAGGAAAAACCTCCCTCCATCCCAATTATTGAACTGTTTGTTTCTATGGAGAACTTAAATTTTATGTTGGCAGCTTTGTTACTCCAAACTGTACTCCATACCCCACCCTGGTTGTAATGGAAGGTCGAACTTATAAAAACTCAATGTATATCATTAGATTAAACACGAAGCCCAGTTCAACCTTCCTGCGTGAAAACCTTAGAGCTAAGAGCACCTCGGAGTATTTGCACTCCAGTTGTGTCCTGAGAACAGACTTTTGGAGCACTCATCACTGTCTTTTTATTTACCCTGATGACCTCTGTTAGCCCTTGGCGAGAAAGAACAGCTGTAATGAAGATTCTCTAAGTTTCACTTTTTATCCAGATCATTATGTTAATTAGTGTTAAGCAGCACACTGAACCCCTCAGAGCAGTCAGGAATCAATCAGTCTCTGTCTGTTGAAACCCTTTCTGTACAAAGCTCCATCTAGGCACCTTGCAGACACAAAACAGAAGATACTGATTGGCCCTAAAGGAACAAGGTGCTACTTAGAAGCAGAGAATACATGGTGGAAGAATTCTATCAAAATGGCACAAGGCTGATTGCTCCGTGAGTCATGCTGGCATTATGTTTTACTCCAATGACAATTAGCCTTTAAGCTCCAAACTGAAGAAATGTTACCTTGCATATAAAATAGTTCAGGAAAAGAAGTTAACCTATAATGACAAAGGCTAAAATTCAAATAGCATTCCTTAAGGCAAATTTTAAAGTATATTTCATACCATACTTTATTCTTTAGTTTTGGGCTGTTTTTATGAATTTCTATTATAGGTATGGGCTGAATGAAGGAATCCTTTGGTTATCACCTGTGAGTTGTTGGTCAGTATTGCACATTACAAATGGAAATAATATTTTTTGAGGATATAAATAATCATAGATGCTTTCCATAATAGCTTGTAAAGAATCTAAACACAAAAATTATGAAAGCTAATAAATGAGTTTTGCAAGAGTGCAGAATATACTAGTAAGATCCATACATAAAAATCAATTCTATTTCTACCAATGAACAATCAGTCCAAAAATTAAGTTAAGAAAATAACTTCACTTATAATATGATTAAAAGAATAAATTTGACAAAAAAGCATAAGGCTTGTAAATTAAAAACTATAAAACACCAATGAAACAAATTAAAGGAGAACTAATTAAGTCAAAAGACATTCCATGTTCATGGATTGGAAGACTTAATATTGTTAAGGTGATAGGAATCTTCTAAAGGATCTACAGTTCAGTGAAATTCTTTTCAAAGTCTCCACTGCCTTTTTACAGATATTGTCAAGCTGATCCTAAAATTGATGTAGAAATGTAGAGAATCCAGAAGAGCCAAACAGTCCTTAAAAAGAACAAAATTGGAGGGACTTACCCTTCACAATTTTAAAACTTATAATAAAGCTGTGATAATCAAGACTGTATGGTTTTGGCGTAAGGGTAAACATAAATCAATACTATAGAGTTGAGAATCCTAAAATAGTAATAACCACAAAAACATTTATGATTAATGGGGTTTCAACAAGTTAAATAGGGAAACAGTTAAATAGGGAAAGAATAGTCTTTTCAACATGGTGCTGAGACAATGGGATATCTACATGCAGAAGAATGAAGCAGACCAATAGCTCACAACATTCTTGAAAATAACTCAAAATGGATCAAAGAACTACATATTAGAACTAAAACTATAAAACTCTTAGGAGAAAAGATAAGTATGTATGTTTATGATTCTGTATTAGGCAATAGTTTCTTAAATATGACACCAAAATTACAGTCAACCAAGGCAAAATTAGATAAATTGGACTCCATGAAAATTAAAAACATTTTTATTCAGACAGAATCTAACTCTGTCACCCAGCTAGAGTATAGTGGCATCATCATAGCCCACTATAACCTAAAACTCCTAGTCTCAGGTGATCCTCCTGTCTCAGCCTCCCAAGTAGCTGGGACTACAGGTGCATGCTAGCACACCTAACTAATTTCTTTTCCATTTTTTAAAGAGATGGGCTTTCATTACATTACTCAGGCTGATCTCAAATTCCTGGCTTCCACCAGTCATGCCTAGGCCTCTCTAAGTGCCAGGATTAGAAGCATGAGCCACCACACCCAAGCCCCAAATTAAAAACTTTCATCCTTCAAAGGACACTATCAAACAAGTGAAAGACAACCCAAAGAATGGGGGGAGATATTTGCAAATCACGTATTTACAAATCTAGAATATGTATATATATAGAACTCTAAAAACCCAACAATAGAAAGGCAATTTTAAAATGAGTGATGGATTTAAATGAACATTTTTCCAAAGAAAATACATAAATGGCCAGTAAGCACATGAAAAAAATACAACATCATTAGTCATAGGAGAAATGCAAATCAAAACCACAATGAAATACCACTTCACACCCACTGAGATGGCTGTGATAAACAAAAAAAAAGGCAATAATAAATGTTGGCAAGAGTGTGGAGAAATTGGAACCCTATACGTTGCTGGTAGAAATATAACATAGTACAGTTGTATTGAAAACAATTGGCAGATCTTCCAAAAATTAAACATAGAGCCACCATAGGATCCATAAACTATACTCCTAGGTATATACCCAAGAGAATCCGAAACATGTCCATGCAAAAACCTAATACACAAATGTTCATTATTGCTGGTAGCCAAAAAGTGGAAGAATCCTCATAGCCATCAATTGATGAAAATGTAAACAAAATATGATATATCTCTACAATGTACATCATGAAGCTATATAAAGGAATAAAGTATTCATTCATACTACAACATGAATGAACCCGGAAAAACATGCTGAGTAAACAGGGCCAGATACAAAAAACCACACACTGTGTGATTTCATTTATATGAAATGCCCAGCATCCTATAGGCAAAACCATAGGGACAGAAAGTAGATCAATGGTTTCCAGGGTACAGGGTGATGGTCAAAATGGAAAGTGATTGCTAATGGGTGCGGGGTATTTCTGGGGGTGATGAAAACGTTTGGGATTAGATAGTGGTGATGGTTGCAAACTTCATGAACATGTGAAAAACTATTGAATTGTACATTTTAAAAGAGTGAATTTTATAGTATGTGAATTATATCTCAGTGATTTTAATTACCATATTTTTCCTTGATCAGTATAAATTAAGATGTTCTGAAAAAGCATAATATAACTTGGCAAAAAAAAAAAAATTGTCAGTCAAGTATATACAGTAGAACCACTATAGTTGACCACCTCCCTCCATAGACCACCTCCTTAAGTCAACCTAATTTTCGTAGATGGAACTAGCACCTTTTATACATATCAGTACAGTAGGCCTAGTTCCTTTCATTGACCACTTTTGTATGTTGACCGATTTGTTATAACCCTTGGATGGTCAACTTATAGTGGTTCTACAGTACTTGTATATTTTTTCCTAAGAAGCAATAAAATAAGCTTCATAATCGATCTTACAGACTGCATGAAATACTGTCAGTATTAGTACCAGTGCAGAGAGATAACAAGACCAGGACTTCTCTCAAGTTATACCCTGGAGGTTAATACTGGTTCATCTCTTCTGTCCTTTGAGTAACCTAATAAAGACGCTTTTCTTCTAGATCTGACAAGTGTCTGTTGTCCTGAAATTGAGGGAAGCATCCTAAGTATTTTGGCACGGACATTTCATGCTCGCTCTCTTGCTCTCCCCGCAGGTGCTACCCTTCCCGAGCCAGGTGGTATACAACAGAGTAGGCAAGTGTGGGAGCCGCACTGTGGTCTTGCTTCTGAGAATCTTGTCAGAGAAGCACGGATTTAATTTGGTCACATCAGACATTCACAACAAAACCAGGCTTACTAAAAATGAACAAGTAAGTTGACTTTGCCCGTTGTTAAATTGTATTTTGCTTCAGCTCGTTTGTGTAATTGGTGGGTGCCTTGCCGGACATCCTCCAGACTACTGCAGATGAAGATCAGCATTTCAGGTTCATGCTGTATTTTTGCCAGACTGTGGAAGGAAATTGAAGTTAAGGATTCTGCAATTCTAGAAACCAGGAAGTTTCCCCGAAGGGATACTTTTTTTAGGACCGATGGAGGACAGTATACACTTGCTGTTACTCATCCGTTTAGCTAAAATTAGCAATATGTACATCTCAAATAGCCACACCACTGAGCTCATGCCCACACCTTCTCAAATTGAGCATTTTTTTCCCTGTATTTTCTCAAGGGTGTCCTAAATCTTTATGGTTCTAGTGAAGAGAAAATGTTTGGGCCAGAAATCTGATTGGGTGATGGGAGACACCAGCTTCCTGCTAGGCTAAGCTCAGAGAGCTTAGGCTTTGGGAGCAGTATTTGGAATGTTCAGTGGTAAGAAAGGAATTACCTCATTTTGCAGGAACAATTGTCCCCCGATGTAGCTAAGCCATGCAGGTGGACATGTGAATGGCTGGTTAGGAGTGCTGTCCTCTTCTAGGAAACCATGAAGGCTGATTCAGCTGTATCAACAAAATCTATCTACCTATAGAGGTAGAGGTGACTGTCTCCAGGGAGGTGCTTTGCGAGTGTAAAATAGTTAGGCATGGTATTCTCACAGTCACTTTATGGGTCACATTGGTCAGCCTAGTCTCAAAAACTTGCTCCTGTCCCCTGAAATACTTAGGATGAGCAGCTACCAATGAATGGTAGTGAGTATAGGGAATAAACAGGGCATGTGGTTCATATGGGGGCAGATCATAATTATGAACATTGCTACCATATCCATAATCTCACCTTCAAGACATTTAGACCCTCACAAACAGAGGGAATCTCACTCCTAATTTTCTGATCCCATCTTTCCCCTTAATCCTGGGGGGAAGTGGGGCTGTTGTAAGACAGTAGCAAAGCTGACACTACTTGCTCTAAAGTTAAGGCAATATGTTTAGTGTCTTCCAGAACATAAAGATCAAAACGCCTGGTCATCTGAAAACTTCCATTAAAGAGTCTCTTAAGTACCAAGTTTAAACAGTCGTGACTAATCGGCAAAAATTATTGTTATTATTATTTTCTTCAGTTTTTGAGACAGAATCTCACTCTGTCACTCTCGGTAGAGTGCCTCGGCATTATCATAGCTCACAGTAGCCTCAAACTCTTGGGTTCAAGCAATCTTCTTGCCTCAACCTCCTGATTAGCTGAGACTATGGGCACGTGCCATAACACCCAACTAGTTTTTGTTTTTTGGGTTTTTTTTAAGTAGAGACAGAGTCTCGCTCTTGCTCAGACTGGTCTCAAATTCCTGAGCTCAAGCAATCCACCCACCTCAGCCTCCCAGAGTGCTAGGATTATAGACGTGAGCCACTGAGCAAAAATTATTAATATTTTGAGGTTACTCCTTGCAGGTTTTGTAGGATAGACTTATCTTTGGTGGCCTTTAAGGCTACGGCATTCTGTGCATGACTTTGTTTAATAAGGTCAAGTTTGCTTTGATTTCCCTGCTTAAATGAAGAGTGAATATGATGATTAGGCTGGTGATGCCCTTTTAACTACCTGAAAGCAAGTATAAATAAACAGCCTAGGTTAATGCAATTTTATTAGAAGTATTAACTTTGATTTTCTTTTGAGTCTAACTTTTCAGGCCTGTTTATCAGATTTTATTCAAATAATGCGTGTATGTGGAACCTGTTTTTAGTTGCCAGATCTTCGTTCCCACTGCTGAGTAGGGGAGTAACAAGCAAGAGAATGTGAGACAGTGGTACTAAAGGATTAGATGTTAAGATGTTCAGGAATGTTCTGGAAGAGAAAACACAAAATTTAATCTTTAAATATGCCATGAGTTTTGCACAGAGGAACCTACTTTGTTTCCTTTAAGGAGCAAGCATAAGGAAGTAAAATTCAGTTGTAGCTGTGAAGAGAATCATTTAGATTAAAAATCAACAGTAACTTACAAACAGAGGGTAGAGTGTTAGCTCCAAAAAGGGTTAAAGACAAAGTCATCCTTCGCCTCTAAAATATAGGTTAGCTCTCATCTGTTTGGAATGGCTGGCTTGTCTGGAAGCCAGGGAATAGACAATTTGTAAGGTTCTTTCCAGCCCTGTGATTCTGCGATGTATTTATATAACTGCTAGCATAATCTATATATTGTGTAGTTGAAACGTTGCTGATTCCTGGGGTCAGTGTGAGCTAGAATATTTTTCATTATTTAGTTATTCCCATAAAGTTATAAGACAAGTTTTAAAAAGGCAAAGGTCACAATAAGGTAGAAAAGGCAAATCTATAATTTTGGCATAAAAACAAACCTACCAACGGTGATGACTGCCTATCTGCAGCCGCTCATCGGGCTCTGGCACACACAGAGTAGCAAGAAAACAAAATGACAAGCAACCAAGTTCAAAGTACGTCATAGCTCAATGCTGTTCAGAGAGACTCTTTTTCTTGTTCTGCGTATCCACTTTTTCTATAGTCTCAGAGTGCATAAAACAAGCAGAGAAAAGACAATGTCATTTTATCTTAATAGATTCAAGAAATAATTTGTGGTATGAATAGGTCTTCTTCTTAGAGACTTATTAAAGGAAAAAGGAGGAAATGATTTAGGAGACTAGTGAAAATTTTATAGTCAGTGGCTCTTTTACCCATAAACAGTCTAACTCTGAAAAGTTTCTTCCCATGACATCGCTATTCTCTAGAGTTAATAACAATTCTGCTTCTGGTACAGCCTGAGTTAAACAGGCTCTTGTGGGCTAGCCTGGGACTCTATCCACTGGGTAGAGCATTTCTTTTATGAGAAAATTTAGTCCAAGTTCCAAACTACTGACTTACAAATGAACTTTAGAATAGTGTCCCTTAATAAGACTGGAATTATCTGTACCATTTCATTTACACACAAAAGTACCCTCTGGCCAGAGTCACATTCACACATGCATTCTCTCTGGAGGGTAGTCATCTCTCGCACACACACACTCTCTCTCTCTCTCTTTCTCTCTCTCTCATGCACACACAAAATTGTTAAAATCTTTTTAATGGAACAAGATACTGAAGGGATTGTTAAGAAGGGAAGGCAGCGTGAAGATGCCAAATGTTAGAATGCCTATAAAAATCCCATTACATCTGTCCTTATGGAAATAGAAACACCTTTGAAGTTTATATTTTGGAAAATTCTGCCTCAACAGCAGTGCATGGACAGCTGCTGCTGGCCAAATGTTGGACCTTTGCACAGCATATAATGCAAACCCACGATGACCTCATTTCATTTATGCTCTAAAATCAGATTTCAGTTCCCCGGGCTGGCTTAAATGATCTCTTGGAAAATGGAGATTATGTACCGTTTTGAAAGATAGAGTTTGTTTTACAGAAATCTTAGGATGTGATCACTTAAAAAAATTATAACCATCTTTATTAACGGTCTGATACTATCTTTCAGAGCGTTGTTATAAGTACAAGAAAGGTCGGGGTGCCCCAGATATATCATAGACATATGAAGCCACAATTATTTCATTCTTGTTGGAGAAGAGCTGAAAATGTTGAGACAGCAAATAATTTGATTATTTCTATTTCTGTTGAAGCTGAGTATTACAAATGGGCTACAGCATCTACTACTACATGCTAATTGTCTTACTTCGTTATTTCATTTAACTCTTTTGGACCTGAAAGTAGACCAGAGTGGATATGATGAATCCCTATGATATGGATGATAAAACTAAGACAATCAGATCAAGCCATTTTCCAAACATAATGTGTATAATACAATGACCATCTGTGATGCCTGACCTTGAATTCAGGCACTGCTGATGCCAAAGCCATTCCCCTGAGGCATCGGTTATCCACTGTGCCATGGCACCCCCAGCAGAGCCTTTTAAATGTAGAGTTGCAATGGCCCTTTTCCTGGAGACTCTGGGGTGAGTCCCTCAGGAGGCTGGAGACTGTATCACAGAATCTCCTGTCACTCTACCCCAGAATGTCAAAACCATCCCATCAGCATTTCCTTTGGTGTGCTCCTGAGAATCTGGGTCCCCTGTGACAATGAAAGACAGGTAGTACCATGAGTTCAATACATTTGGGAAATGCTGCATGCCTTGTCAGAATGAATCAATTCACAATGATGATGTACATTTTAGAGACTTTGAGAATTAACAAAAACAAAATCTGTTCACCTGGGTTACACCTAGTGTTTTCCAGTTTTATGTGGTCACAGGATGTATCACAAGCGTTTGTGACACATTTATTTATTTATTTTTTCTCATCTGCCATCTTAGCCCCTCCCCTGTGACACATTGACCTCCCACAGAATCCCACTTCATGATTTGTGGGATACAAGACCCGCCTCCCCCACCCCCATCATACCAGCAAAGGCCACTGTTCCGCTCTAAACTACACAGCTCCTATTCAGCACCATTCCAGTGTCCCAAACCTTGAAGAGTATTCAGAGTGCCCAGGGGCTGTAGGTTGCTCTAGCCTCTTGGTCCAAAGCTGTATTTCCTGATAATGTTTTAAACTTCTGTCTCCCATCGCTCTCGCCCACTGCTAGGTCCAAGCCTAACTGGTGACTCCAAAGCAGTGAGACCCACAAAAACTGCAACTCACCTACAGAAGCCGTGTTAGATTTGAAGAAGCTCTAGGTTGCCCTCAGCATGGTCATCTGGGTTCTGTTTAACCAAAAAGGGCCGCACATTCATTTCTCATTGTTTATTCATTCACTATGATGAATAATTATTGAGGAACTATAATTAAGGTGTATACGGAACATCAGACACCACTGTGAATGTTTAAGCGCCTTATTTCTAATCCTCAAAGCAACATTATTCGGAAAGAATTATCATCCCACTTCATAGGGAAGAGTATGTGCAGGAAACTGAATAGAATGTAATGTGAATTAAGCATAATGTGAGCCGGATACAGTGGC